TTAACATTTCCTAAACATTTGAATGATTGTCCAGTAGACGGTGAAGCTACTCTACATGGAAGTACTTGGTGAGATTTAGTAGCCAGTTCCACAAAAACTTGAAAGTCCTGTGAAATTTAATGACATATGTATAAAAAAAGGCCAGTATGGAAACTAATAAATAATTCTGGTAGATTACACCTACCATCATAGGTTACGAGACCACAGAACATTTTATGTTCTATTAACATAAGATCACTTTTTAATTTTTACAACCTTAGTAATAATTACTTGGAGTCACTGAATTTAAATCATTCAATAATTTCCATGTAGGTAGTCAATAAGATCAAGATATTGTAATGAAAGACTTGTAATTATTACATTGAAAAATAAGTAGAGTCGCGTAACACAAACTATATACTTAGAAAATTTCTCAAAGGAAACCACTTTCTATCACTAAGAAGCTTTAGTTTTATGCTTCGGTTGACTTCGCTGATTTTATTTGTTTCCAGGGGAAGAGCAGACTGAGGTGTAATCCTTAATAAAACTGTTTGGAATAGTTCAGTTCCAATGATAAGTATCTACAAAAGTTAGTCTTAATTATTGAAGGCGGCCACTTGTCATGCCCACTCATCTCTTGCAGAGGCTCAGTGTCACGTGGGTGAGGGTTAGGGAATTCGTGAACAGGAAACATACCTGAACTGCTGCCATCATTCCTCATTAGCTTAATCACTTCCCAAGCTGGACAGATTACAAAGACACCGGCTGCGGTTGCCCTGGAGCAGAATTGGAGCAGATTGGCCAGAAGGATCTGCCAGAATACCCGATGCTCAACATGTCACTTCAATTTCCGAGACAGAAATCGGTCCTGTTCAGTGGCTAATGGAAAGATGTATCAAAACTGATTATCAACCGCTTTCCAGTTAGATTTCGATAGAGATTTCGAATGCAAACCAAAATGGGATCTTATGTGCTATTGTTTGCAACATTTAACAGGCTTTGTTAGTCTTGTTTGTTTCATTTTGTTTTCCTGATTTTTTTCTTTTTTTAAAAAAAAAATTTTACTGATTGATTTGAGAGAGAGAAGAAGGGAGAGAGAGTAAAATATTGATTTGTTGTTCCACCTATTCCTGCATCCGTTGGTCGCTTCTGGTGTGTGCCCTGACTGGAGATCGAACCTGCAACCTTGGCGGATTGGGATAATGCCCCAACAGCTGAGCTCCCCAGCCAGGACTTTGTTTTCCTTTTTTCCCTTCAATGATAGAAATGAATATTTTCCAGGAATTCTAGCTCCTTTTAGCTGATGTCATTGTGTCTATGTCACCAAGGCTTGAAGCTACAGCCAGGACCTTGTTACATTGCCAGCTTGATCAGATTATAGATATGGTTTCAATATATCGTTTTTGAATCATAAATTTGGGGGAATCGACTCAGGTGTTAGCCAGACTGCCCGGGGCCTTACCAGAGCAGTAATGGGAACAAAGCTATTACTCTGTACTCACAGTAAATATTGAGCTGCATTTATCTGCCACAAAAATGTTTCAGGATACTGATACAGAACTTTAGAAATTACGCTCTACTTTCTTGGCAACAATCTAACAAACGTGGCGTGACATCTGTTGCTTTAGCCTATCCAGCACCTACTTATTTAAAATAAAAAACATGCAAACACTATTCTAAGCACGTGAAATCCACACATGAATGAATCATAGATCCCTTCTGCATGGAGCTTACATCCCAGTGCAGAAAGCCAGTGTATATATAAATCATACAACTGTTAGAAAGAAAATATAAATCCTACAAGTGTTACCAAGAAAATATAGTAGCGTTCTTGCTTTGGGTGCGGGTTACATTATTAAATACGGTATTTGGCCTGAGATTTCAGTAAGTACATGAAAGAAGTGAGAGTAACTTAATCATTTAGATGTCGGGTGAGAGCTAGAGACAGAAACGACTCCTAAAATTCCATCGGATGCGTTGATGAAGGTGTGCAGCCGGGCTGAGGGAGCACCTCGGGAAGGCTCCCCCCTGGAGGCCGGTGGCTGCGTTGACTTCTGCTCACAGTGGGTCACGAGGACCAGCAGCAGCAGCATCACCTCGGGACTTAGCGAAATGCAGAAGTCTGAGTCCCACCTGCGACCACATGCATCACTATTGCACCCTGAGCACTTTGCATTGCACTGAAATTACGCTTAAAATTAATTTAGATGTACATTTATTTCTCACTGTAAATTTTATAAAATCTTGGCACAGATTTAGGACCTATCAGCATCTAAAAAGCACCACCAGTATTTTGGTATTATTTTAAAAAATAATTTTACATAAGAAAGAGGTATGCACCGCTCACAATGTGGTAAGGATTTTTTTTCTTAACTGAAGTAATATAAAGCAGCATTATGAAAGCTAAATAAACATTTTAATGTCTGCAGAATGTTCTATCAGAGTGATGGACTATAATTAAATAATACCTTTAGTAACTATTCAGATCAATTTGGCTATTTCATGATCGTACTAAAAATGAATGTGAAAGAAGAGCTTGTATATGTTTCTAATATTATTTTTTTTCAGACAGTTCAATACATGATGAATAAAAAACATAAACATTAAGACTTTTGGTATACATCTCCCAGATGCATTACAACATTTATAGCCTCTGATTACTCCACTTTTGAATTTAATAAAATAACTTTTATTATTTTAGGTATCATACTGTATTCAAACTATAATGTATTTCATATCGTTTGACCAAGATATTCCTTAAACATGTAACAGTACCTGTCTGTGATTAAGCTTTCCAAGCGGTTGCCATAGATCCCATATTGGTATTCATATATTGAAATCCAAATGATAGAAAGGAAGCTGAAACTATAAATTGAAGAAAAATATAAATGAAATCCTTTAGGGCTTGTCCTTGGAACTGACACTGTGATGCCAAATGAGCGGGGTTTTCAAGTAGATATTTAGGAAAGAAGATGGAAATGTTCCAGAATAATATTAGTCAGGCATTATTATCAGCCTATTACCTTATTGTTCTCATTTTTATCATGATCATATGTACTAGAATTAAAATCTTGCTAAAAATTTATCTTTAGTAAGGCATAAATGTTGCATATTCTGACTCTTATTCAAATAATGACAATACAGAAGCAATATTCAAGAAGCAAAAATTAGTCTGTATACCGAGTCTACCAAAATTTTATAAGCACTTTTATGTAATGGATAGGATATGATTTCACGCAAATACTTTTGTAACACTCATCTAATAAAAGAAACAGCACGCCATTGATTTGAATAACTTCAGGTAATATACAATTATTAAAATGAAACATAAGCCCAATATATTAACAAATGCAAAAAAATAGAACTAGAGAAGTGCAGAAGCTCTGTAAATACATTTCTAATTCAACACTTGCCTGTACAGAGTGACCAAGAAACGCGGGGTCTACAAAGACCTGAGGGGGTTGGAAAGGGAAGGCATTTGGCCTCCGTACGTCAGCATTTGTGACGAAGGGTCCAGTCCACTGACCCCCAAAGGAGGATGTATAAGTAGACTTTATAAAAGAAACTTTATACATAGAATATATAAAATTATAACATATGACAGGTTGATATATCAGATCAATAGGGGAAACAACTTATTTAATATATGCTCCTATTAAAATGTGTTTCTATGTAGAAAAGTAAAACTGGTATTTACAGCATATAATATATAAAGACTAACTTCAGCTTGAGTGAGGATCTAAGTGACAAATACAAAACCTGAATCAAGTTTAGCTGAGAATACAGATAAATATTTCTCTACACTTGGACTAGGGGAGTATTTTTAACATTATTAAATACATCCAGCTATAAGATAAAATATTAATAAAGGTTATTTAATAACGTAAGCCTTCATCCAAAGATCTCTTCGGTGAATGTGAAAATAAGTTATGAGTTTCGTGTATACTTGGTGAAGAAATTTGAAACACATCATTGACAAAGGATCCGTGCCGGATTGAACAAAAACATGGACAGGTAAAAAAGAAGAGGAGAACCCCAAACAGGAGAACGAGCAGAAGCCCTCAAGGCACAGAATAAGGCACTAAGCCAGTAGAAATAAAGAGGCGGCAAAAAACGTCCTTAATCGGGAATTGGGGAAAGTTTTACTTAACGTGGAGTGTTGGCGAAGCGCGCTCAAACCGGATTCCTTCTAATTGTCTTCGGTGACCCACTTTGGGAGAATTTGGGGCATTCTCTTGTACAATTAAATAGCAGAAAGGCTACCCTGGCCCTTGTCCGCCTAGATGGGTCTCAGGAGACACTGTGCACGCAGAGGACACACGTGCAGGAATGTTCAGAACAGTGTCAGGCTGAAGCATCTAGTGTCTCGGACAGGAGTGTGGCGTGTGGCTGACGCATGCGATGCCACCATGTGTGACAGACACCAACGAGACCCGCTGAGACCCAGTACAGATGTCTCAGCAACCAAACTTAAAGTGCTAGTGTCCGAAGGTTGCATTTAGTATGATACTCATTTCTCATGTTTAAGTGAAAAACAGCTAAAAGAAAACAATACATTAAAAAATATATATATATTTGTACCAATATACTGTACATATATACACATACTCACACAGTTGGCATATGTATGTGGCTATATGGATACACACATATGCTACGCTTAAATATGTATATATGTTAAGACTATATGTTCTCAAAATCATGGAAATAATAAGCACAAGTTTCAGGACAGTGATTCAGGCAGACGAGCAGGGCTGAAATGGGGGAGCAGAGCTGAAATGGGGGAGTGCCCGGATAGAGATGTCAGATATTCCAGAGTCCATGTAGGTGTTCATTTTATTACTGAATATATGCATTGATTGTATTGCTGAAAAATAAATGCATGTTCCCATATATTCATGCATACATAAAAGGAAACATGAATGATAAGACTGTGCCATGCCAAAAAAAAAAAAATACAGCCTGTTTGAAAAGAATTTTCTTAATCATTTTAAGTCAAGCGTTTTCTTCTTTCCTTTCAGCTTGCTGACTCCCTGAATCAGACCCGAGAGCTCCAGAGATCTCTGGGTGAACAGAAAGACGCAAAGGAAAACGTGGGAACCGAACTGAGGCAGAACCGGTAATTATTTCACAAACTGTTCAATTCAAGATTGGGGCCTCAGACAAGAAAATCTTGGTATCTTTATTTCATATTTTTTTCTTAAATATCAGTAACATTATTTTCATTAACTAGAAATATTCATGAAAGATGCTTACGCCCAATACTTGCACTCATGGGCTTCTAGCTCTTACTGTCTTTTGCCTCATAGATGTGGGATGGTATAGTAATGACGATCTGAATATTCAAAAACAACTTCAGTTCTAAAAGATGCGGAATTTCTGAAAGGCAGAAGGAACTTCCAGAATACATGTCACATAAAGCAGAAAAAAATGATCATATCTGCAAGAAAAAAGCAAGTTGTAAACCGCACTGTTCGCTGGATTGTTGGTAAAAGAAGCAGTGTATTAAGTAAAAGGAATGGTTTAGGTACACATCATTGACAGACGTGTACATGTGAGTTTTTATCTAGGTGGTGGGGGTGACATGTGTGAAGAATGTTTTCTCCCTAGAGAGGTAACAGTGGACGTGGTTATAATTCTCGATACAAAGCAAACGTGGGCAGAGGCGTCGAACAATATGGTTCGCACTCTAATTCATTCAAACAGTCCAGAGAAGGACGTGATCGCCTGTGACGGCAGCTAAGGAGAAGCAACAGGAGCCTCTCAGAAACCAATGGGCTCTGGACTGTCCTCGGCGGAGACGTTTTGCAATAAAAGCGCAGAACAGCCCACACACCCGACGGGAACATCGAGGTATAAGTCTGGCTGAAACGAAGCCGCGATTTCCCTCTGAGTTGGATGAACAAAGCCAAGTGTGGACTTGTATTTAGAGGATCATTTCTGTAAGACCTTTTCATACAGCACAGAATATCACTGCATAGTTAAGTTTCGTTTTCAAGAGAAAGAAATTTACACTAAAAAGACTTGACATGAACTCACATAGCTATTTCCTAATGAAGCCAACGTGTAAAATTTAATTAAGAATAGGCCTGGTCTTCCTCACCCCCACTGCCATGAATCAACAGGAATGATGAAAACCTACTGGTTGGTGCATAAAGCTTACTTTTATGTGAGAAATCGGCTTCATCATTCACTGAGCCTTTCTTACTGTCCATTTCTTTCTCTGACTTGGAGGAAGGTCTAGGAGGAATCGGAGGACAGGGGCAGAGGCCAGGCTGGCCGTCCACTGGCCCAAGGATCCCCTGCTGAGGGTGTTTGCCGATCTGCATGGTGATGCCTACACTATGCCCTGATGGTGAACTGTGAACTCGCTCATTTTTGCTCGACATTCCTCTTGTGAACTGGCTCCAGCTTGGCTGTTTCTGCTGTAGCCTCAGTGGCCTCCCATCCCCTCCCCTGCAAAGGGTACACCTAGCTGACACCCTCAGTGTGGACCCCGGGAGGGGCTCTGCTCACAGCTACAGATGAGAACCAAGTGCAGCTGTGAGAAGCTAAATGCACCTCCCCCTGTCTGACCTTGTTTCTCTGCTTTTCTGTGGCTATGCCGCAGGTTGGTGAGGGGCAACGGAGGGCATCGTCCTCCCAAGATCCCAGACACAGGTAGAAAATAAGTCTCCCTGCACCCAGCCCTCAACACCTGACTCACCACCTGCAGCAATTCCTCGTGCACACCTGTCTCCAGACCAGAGCACGTAAAGGGAGGATTAAAAACTCTTCGTGCAACTTTGCTCTTCCCACAGACCCAGAGCCGAGAAGTGGCTTTTCGCCGCCGCCTTCTGTCGTGTGCTACACAGCGTGTCTACCCTGGAGCTGACTACTGAGACAGGCAGGCGGGGCTGTTGCCTCTATTTTCTCAACATGGACTCTTGTCGAAGGTACTGCTTGCAAGGCTACTACGTGCAAGACATTATTGTTGGTGCTCCCACATGTAGCCTCTTTGAGTCCTCAACAGACTTACGTGCTGGGACCTATTGTTCTTCTCCTGAACCAAACAAGGAAGCTGTGTTAAAAGGACAGACCTCGTGAAAGAAAGCACCAGAAGAGGGATAATCCTCATTCAGGAAGAGCATTTGCTTCATAGACCTTTGGTTTTTACAGATAATGGTTTATGACTATGATTTGCTTTAAAACATCACTTTGAAGATCAGAAATAAGACTAAACATTGGAAACAAAAAATATTGCTTGGGTTATAACTTGCTGTACAGGAAGTTATGCCAAAACTTAGCGGCTAAAAAACCAACGATTGTTGCTATTCAAGATTCTGTAGTTGACTAAGCTTGGAAAGTTGGTTCTTCTGCTGTGTGTGATATTATTGGCCTGGTCACTCTTGAGGTTACATTCACCTGAGAGTTTGACTGGCACTGAGGAAGCTGATCTTGCTCAGATGCTTGTGTCCTGAGATTTTATCTCCATGTAGATCATTTCATATCACCGAGTAGTGCAGTCTGTGCTTCCCAAATGGAAGCTGATTTCCCAGAGGATGAAATGGATTTTAGCTTTACCCTCTGGGTCCTTGCTTGGCCTCTAGTCCCTCTTCCTTCAAAATAAATGGTCACATACCAAAACCAAACAAAGACACTGCAAAAAGAGAATTATAGGCCAGTGTCCCTGACGGACACAGATGCAGAAATACTCAACAAAATATTAACAAACTAAATTCAACAATACATTCTAAAGATCATACACCATGATCAAGTGTGCTTTATTCCTGGGATGCAGGGTTGGTTGAGTATCTGAAAATCAATTAACATGATATACCACATAAACAAAATGAAGGACAAAAGTATGACCATCTCAACAGAAAAGGCATTTGACAAAATCCAACATCCATTATGATAAAAAAATCTCAACAAAGTAAGTACGTAAGTACACACCTCAACATAACATAGCTAGTATCATACTCAGTGGTGAAAAGCGAAAAGTTTTTTTTAAGATCAGAAATAAGACAGTAATACGATAAGAAAAAGAAATAGAAGGTATCCAAATTGGAAAAGAATAGGTAAAACTTATTGTTGGTGGAATTTTAGATTCCACCAGAAAACTATTAGAACTGATAAATGAATTCAGCAAATTAGCAGCAAATGAAATATTCAGATATCAGTTGAATTTTTATACATCAATAATAAACCATCAGAAAGAGAAATTAAGATAACAATCCGATTACAATTACTTCAAAAAGAATAAAATACCTAGGAATATATTTAACTAAGGAAGTAAAAGACCTGTACTATGAAAATTACAAGACACTGAAGAAAGAAATTGAAGAACATCAAATGAAAGGACAGATTGCCCTGGACAGTTTTTCTCAGTGGTTAGAGGGCCAACCTGCAGTCCAGAGAGATCCGGGTTCAGTTCCCGCTAAGGGCATGTACCTCGTTTGCAGTTTGTCCCCGGCCCTGGTTGATCGTGTGGGTGGCAGCCACTTGATGTGTCCCTTTCATATCAATGTTTCTCTCTCTCTCTCTCTCTTCCTCTCTCTCCCTCCAGCTCGGTCTGAATAAAGAATAGAAAAAAAGTCCTCCAGTGAGGATAAAAAAAAAAGAAAGAAAGAAAGGACAGATTGTGCTCATAGATAGAAAGAATTGACATCATTAAAATGTCCTTACTACAAAAAGTAATCTACCAATTCAATGCAATCCCTATCAAAATACCAATAGCATTTTTCACAGAAATAGAACAAATCATCCTAAAATTTATATGTAACCACAAAATACCCTGAATAACCAAAGCAACACTGAGAAAAAAAGAACAAAGTTGGAGTTTTCACACTACCTGATATCAAACTATACTACAATGCTATGGTAATCAAAACAGCATGATACTGGCATAAAAACAGACACAGAAATCAATGGAACAGAATAGGAAGCCCACAAGTAAACCCTCATCTATATGGTCAAAATTGAACTATAACAGAGGAGGCAAGAATATACATGGGAGTAAAGACAGTCAATTCAGTAAACGGTGATGGGAAAACTACACAGATACATGATAAAAAAATGAAATTACCACTTTCTTATATCATATACAAGAATAAACTCAAAATGATTAAAGACTAAAATGTAAAACCCGAAACTATAAAACTCCTAGAAGAAAACATAGGCAGTAAACTCTTTGACATAATTCTTAACAGTATTTTTGGATATGTCTCCACAGGCAAGAAAAACAAAAGTAAAAATAAATGACACTTCGGCAAACTAAAGTTTTTGCACAGTGAAGGAAACCAACAAAACAAAAAGACAACCTACTGAGTAGACAAAGATATTTGCCAGTTATACATCTGATAAGGGGTAATAGTCAAAATATATAAGGAACTTATACAACTTCACACTGACAAAAATCATCTGATTAAAAATGGGCAGAGGACCTGAACAGACATTTCTCCAAAGAGGACATGCAGATGGCCAATAGACATGAAAAGATGCTCAACATCAGTAATCATCAGGGAACTTAAGCATAGTTTATAGTGAACAAACTAAAAAAAGATATTGTAATAGAGAAATTTAGTATTTTATTGCAGAGTGCCACAGATTTATGTAAAATGTGAAGCAGTATATACAGGACAGGGTTTGCCTTGACTATTCTTATGTTTTTAATAATGCCTACCTTATGACGTGACTCCTACATGGCTTCGTAAAGATCCACGGAAGAAAGGAGCTGCTAGACAGTTGGTTTTACATGAGGCTGTTGAAAATATGGTCTCAGAGGAGACACAGACTTGAAAGATGAGTGCAGAGCTAACATATACACTACACACGTGTCACTGCAAATTGCAAAGGTCTTCGGAGCCCTGGCCTGGCCCTAACTTATTTCTAGGGACAAAAATGGGATTGGTGTGGGAAACAAAACAATCCCCAAAGCCTTCCTGCCTTGGTTGGCGCTCAGCCCTCAGTGTGGGTGAGCTTCGGCTAAATCGCACCAGATGCAGTGAAAAGCTTGGGAATGGTTATTTCTGATTTTAATACATTTTTATCTGTTAACATGATCCATTTCTAAACCACTGCCTATTTTTATTTACCTCTGTAATTTTCTCTGGGCCCATTTTTTCTTCATACTACTTTTATTACCCAGTGAATGGATTCCAAATGAACAATGACATGTGGTAAACTAACTGGAAGTGCATTCCTGTTTCAGCACAGCCCTGTCATCTTGGAATTTCCATTTTCCAACATTCCTAAATTCTTTGTCTTTATTTTTTGTGCTGAATTACCTGTTTTTAATAGTATATCACTCACAATGTAAGAAAATGGCATTATTCATGGTAAAAGTTCTAGTCCTTCTATTTTAATTCAAGCTTTTTCTTTTATTTAAAAGTCATCCTTATGTTTTATAGATAGAATGTTTTTTAGACCTCTTTGGAGACATTAGGTGAATATTTTTATTCTGCTTATTTTTTTTTTTTTTCTTGTTTCTTCCCAATTGCGATTTTCTTGTTTGCTGGTTTCACCCTTTACTTTTCTCATTCTTCCGGCTTCAGCCAGGATTGGCAGATGCCCTCGGGCGCATCTCCGCTTCTCTGAGCTGTCATCTCTCGCTTTATTTCTAGGCCATGATTTCTAGAGGGATTGTGGGAGACTCCTTTCTTCTTTTCAGAAGCGTTGGCTCCCAAGCAGCCTCAGAGTTGACCAGTGCTCTGGGAACGCTGGCCTGCAAGTCTTGAATTTGTCCTTCCAGTTCTCTGTGGTCCCTGCGGCCCATTCCTCCCCGCCCAAGCCCCACCCGAACAGCGGTCTGTGCTTGAGTCAGACCGTCCCAGGACTGGTGTCTCCTCCAGGAAAAGAATGGAAAGTGCCTGGTGGTCATCAGCTCACATCCGAATGGCTCCTCGTCTCTGCAGTTTTAGACGGTCTAGTCCTGGTGCACCTGCACGTTTCAAAAATACGATTTTGCAATCTGGCCATTTATTTTCTGGTTGTTGTTGGCAGTGGCCTTGGCCTGGGGTGATCTATTTCTCTTATTTTGAAGCACGGTCCCATCAATTAAACTTGAAATCACATGATGTCACTTGTTTCTCCGTCGCACATTCTGATTTCACCCTCATAGAGTTTTCCGTCCACTGACCTCAGTGGTGTGGTGGAACATCATTTTGGTCGTGACTTTTTGGACTCCTCAGTAGCTATTCATTTGGAGATTTTAGGATCCCCGGGCTGTAGAAAACCAGCTCTCACGGTGCGTTATGTCGGGGACACCGGGACATTCTTACCTGGGGAGTTGCAGGGAGAAGCTCGGGCCCTCAGTCTCTATCTAACCAAGTTCTATGGTCTCCCCACTGGGGAGACTGAGACAGGCCGACCACGAATGCCATGCCCTTAAATTCACCTGAGCCCCTGGGTTGGCAGGGCCTTTCTGGGATAAAAGCTGCAGTGAGGTCACCGCGTCCATGAAGGGCAGCCACAGGCGGCCGCTAGCACCTGCCGCAGGGAACCCCAGTCCCCAGGAGGCAGGTCTGCCTCTCCCCACAGACCCTGCCCTGCCCATCAGCATGCGATCACCCCCGATTATCACCCCCACGATTCCGTAGAAATCAGAACATGAGAACACCCCCCGGCAGCCGCCCATTGTGCCCACAGGCGGCACTGATGGCCCCAGAGCGGGGTGGGCGCTGGGGAGGAGGAGAGTGTAGCGGGCAGGGGTCAGGGCCCGCGGAGGGTCCCTGCCCACAATGCCCTCTTCCCGGCTCCAGGTTTACTCCTGGGCCCTCTTCTGTACGGAATAGACACGGGTGTGACTTTGAGCCAATCTGAGAGTTTTGTCTTTGAGAAAGGGGTTTAAAATCTTTACCAAAATGTCAGAAATAAAAACGCAGTGAGCTTCTCTTCTGCCTGGCCTGTGCCTGCTTGGGGCTGACCGTGCCTGGTTCTCCCGGGCTGACCCGGG